GAGGATTATGAAGGAGATCACGAAACGCTTGGGTGTCGTCGGTGCTACTCGCCTTCCAGGATGGGGACCGCGTGATCCTCACTGTGCCTGGTTGGAGACACTACAAGATATGGCTGCCAACCGATGTCAGTGGTGTTCTTGTTGTCAGTTTCTGTCCAGGTTGCCTGAGTGAATGTCTGGAGGTGTAGCCACCTCTGAATGATTGTGTTAAGCTAGCACTAAGTCCCTCCCCCATCCACCTTTATTCTTTTCTTTACAATAAGGCTTTCAAATAAGTCATGGCTGTACGGCAGTGAAGCATTGGTGTTGAGCACTGATGTCATGCTGTCGTTGATGATGATGATGATCTGGAACAGCGACACTGCTTCCAGCAACAACAATGGTGGTTTTGCTTGACTTGGAAGCTGTCCTTGATTCTGTGGACAGTCAAGCACTATAGTGGTATCTATGAAACAAAGGTGCCCTCCATAAATTCCTGGTCCTCTCTAAAGCAACACTTGTCTGAGTTCACTACACCAAATGGTGTCATACTGAGCTGTTTTCTTTCATTTCCGTCACTGATATGATCATGGAGAACTCCACCTTAGCGTTCAACGCTCATGAGGTCCGAATGCCCCTGGGGGCGTTCGCTAACAGAAATCGGATGCACAGAGGGGATAGCTCACCTTGAATCTGACTCCATCGTACTCATCGTTCGTGCAGCTGTAACACCCCTTCGTTGCCTAGCTGACCATTCGCCGAACTTTCGTCGTCATTGAGCTGTAACTACCTTTCGATACCTGGCTGTCATGATACCCGATGGAAACTGAGATATTGTCAAGTTGTCCAAGTCTAGACAGGAGAAGTCGATATATAGAGGTTGAGTCCGAACCAGTGATCTTTCGATCAGTAAGTCGCGCCTCAACCACTGAGCCATTCCGAACCCATTACGGCTTTGTATGTGCTTTACGCCTAGAGAGTATAGAACGTTCCTACAAGAAGGGGTTGGTTAGTTGCGGATGAGCCGACTGAGTTAGTAGACAAACTTGTCCACCTGGACAGCTGTATCAGTGAGGGTAGTCTGGTCAAAAACGGTACTTCCATCCAGATGGCGAAAGCGAAAAGAGCGTTTTCCAACCTGTGACACCTGTGGCACAGTCGCGAAATCAGCTTATCTACCAACGGTAGAGTTTACAATGCTGCTGTAGCACCCTTTCGGTGCCTAGCTGCTGTGCCACCCGAAGGAAGCACGAGGGCTGGGATACTGCCAGGTTGCCCAAGCCTAGACAGGGGAAGTCGAGTGGCGGAGGTCGGATTCGAACCACGGACCTTCCGGTCAGTAAATTCGCGCTCTAACCAGTTGGACCATCTCGCCCCCACAATGCTGCAGTGCGCCCCATACTGGTACGTGGGCCATAAATGTGCTCACGAGGAACGTCGGTGTGTTCGGAACATTGCTTCAATCTGGAACTCGGGATGAGTAATAGTATGTCATGTGGTTTTCTGAGGAAAGGACTCGCCTGTGGTAGATGAACTGATCACACTCCATAGGTTGCGCCGGCTTAGCCAGTTCTGCATTTGCTAGTCGGCCAGCTTACTCCGAGAGCCCTTTTCACACAACAACGCGAAGCAGGGAGTCGTAAGGTTAGCAGTAGGTGGCTAGGCACCGATGCCTTGGGAGTGTAATTCGGCGTTAGGGCATGACCCCTCCCGGTTAGGACAGGTAACCTTGACTTTCATCCGACTGCTAACGTCTTATTCGTGAGATTACAGCCCATCGTGCATCGGTTAACAGGTGAGGATTACCAGCTGCCTGTCGACCCTGGAAGGGTAGTGCAATGGTTCCTGAGGTTAACGCATTCATACCAAGTGCGACTGTATGTTGGTTTGGCCACTTCTTCAGGCATTATCACGCTTATTTATCCATTTCTGGGATTTTCCCCAGGTACGTTTGGAGCAATGGTTAGGAGTGACGGTTTCCTGTATCGTTTCAATTGTGAAGAAAAATCAGTCGCTTACCTTCGCACTGTGTAGTTAGTGACCTGCCAGATGTGACGGCGAGTTGTTGTCCTAGGTGGCATATATAAACAGTCAAAACAGGATGTGGCCACCGCGGCTGAGTGGTCTTTAGCAGTCCATGTTCTCTATCATCAACCAAGCTAGTCAAGAAGCCGAGAATAGTAGGGGTCTCGAAAGCTGGTAGACGTTTGTGGATAGTTATGTCAACTAAGAGCGTGAGATGCACAGTATTTCAGCCTTGTAGTGCTCAATACAAAAAGGGAACGCCGGTGAACTCACCCGTAACGAACACGTGTGGATGCTGTTCATTAAAATACACGACTACTCTAAAGCTGGCTAGGTCGTCATACTAATGTGTTGCGCACAATTAGGTAGCTGCCTCTGATCACAATATTTGATGATAGAAACAACAGATCTGTGACTGCGGTTGTAGTTGGTATACCGCATCCTAGTGTTTGTTAGTAGTGACATCAAGCACAGCTATGGTGAAGTCTCCATTTCTGTGCAGTAATTTTACTACCCTTGTAGTGGAAACCCAGGTTTTTGAAGCAGGTACTTCTGCATTAGCCAAAAACGTTCTGTGTTGGGGATACCAGTGTCTGCGAAAGCTTTTTAGCTGATAAATTATTGTCAATCTAATTTTCTAAAATTGAAACTTTCATTTTTGGCTGCACTCTTGCGCCAGCATGAAATTTTTTAAAAAAGACTGCCCTTCTTCCCTATTGGTCTCTATTGGTGCTAATGAATCTCCCGTTCTCCAAAGTTATCCAGAACTTATGTATCCGGTCTTGCTTTCACTCTATATTGGCGGGGCAGATAAACTTCTTCCGTGAAGATCTCATCCTCCCCTTTTTCTCCTGTTCCAAGGGTGGTTAGGACCAGGTCGTAGCTGGAGAATTGTGCTCCTGTTCCCACTTCACGTATGATAACGACAAATAAGTTTTCTGGAAGGTGGCCTTCATGCGGAGGCTTCTGTGTTTGAGCCCCGTCATATTGATATCACTGATCTGAACTCTGGAGCAGTAGGTTGAGGGCTGCTACCGAACTGAACGGCACCTACAACGGTTTCAATATTTCACTAGGCTAGATCGCAGGATTAACCACGCGCTTCAGTAGGTCAGGGACCATCTTCGTCACTGTGAATTAATGGTTTCCGAGTCTTGCGACTTGGATCAGAACTAGAATAGGATTACGACGCCATCATAGTTGTCTAAGGATCTAGACCTGGATCTAGATCTGGTAGGTTGTGGAATGTCAGCCAACCACCACGAGATTTTCTTGCGACTTGACAGCCATGCCTGTGTCACGAGCGCCGCGGTATTTTTTCAAGGAAACGAGTTTGAGGCAGCATGAGAACTTCTAAACTTAACGGCATCGCTGTTGTCACTGGTTTCTAGCACGATATGAAGCAAACACTCGTGGCGTTTCACAGGGTATGGTAGACAGCAATCGGATATCGTTTAGCTGTAACACGATTCCGGTGCTTAGCTGACATGCTACCAGAAGGAAGCGCGAGGGTTAGGATACTGCCAGACTGCCCAAGCCTAGACAGGGGAAGTCGAGGAGCAGAGGTCAGGTTTGAACCACGGACCTTCCGATCAATAAATTCGCGCTCCAATCACTGAGCCATCTTGACCAACAGGATTACGTGGCTATCAGCCACCTGCGGAGAGCCACAATTCATAACTGGTGATCCTTCTGGGGCACACTTGATTCCGATCACGCCACGGTGCACGTACCCTTGACAGTTTGTTTCCCGTCAGGGCGTCGTAATTCAGCATGAAGCATGTCAAACATCTTCGAAGAACTGCCACAGCTCAATAGTATTGATGAGCCAGGTTAACAACACTGTACAGGAAACCGACACCATACCGGTGGTGCGCATTTGGATGAAGGATGGCAAGATGTGAAAGGAGCTGTGATAGTACCGTTCAGTGCCCTGTCTGACATTTCCGATTGTTAGGAAGACTACCTCCGACTGAACAGATGCATTTTACTAACGATTTGTCTTGTATACTGAAACCTTGTTTCTACATTTCAGCCTCTCACTGACATCCCATTGGACTGTTAGCTCTTTTTATATTCCGGTTCAGTTGAATTCCATGCCATGAAACGATCCGGTTGTTTGCAGTATAACTTCCTCGAAGTTGTTTGTCTTCTCGACTCCTGATGTATTATCAAAGCTACAGTCAAATGGGGAACAGTTTAGCTGGCCTCCTGAAACAGCCTGTGGAGATAGTGTATTCCGGCGAATGGAATATAGACCTTAACCATCCGTCGGAGAAACAGGGTACCAGATATCCGTACTGAGATGCGAGGGGCACCCTCATCATCATCGAAAACATGACACCAGTGTTAAACACCGATGCTTCGCTGCCGTACAACCATGATTTATTTGAAAGCCATATTGTGAAGAAAAGAATAAAGGCGGAAGGGGAAGGACTTAGTCCCAGCTTACTGCAATCATTCCGAAGTGGTTACACCTCCAGACACGTATTCAGGCAATCTGAATAGAAACTGACAGCAAGAACGCCACCGGCATCGGTCAGCGACCTGAGCCTTGCAGATTCGCGCATTGACCTCATTTGTCAAAATACAATCAGAACTAATATAAATTTCAAGATACTTGAAACGCCCCACAACTTCCAGTGCCTCAGCCTGGATTGTAAGTGGTATGTTCAGTGGCTTTACGTCCACGAGCATGATCTTACATTTTGTAGGTGCAACGTGCATTCCAAAGAACGGGATGACTTTGGTTAGTTCATCAGAAAAAACTGCGCCTCCTCCTCCTATTCAAAGATGAGAGATATTTCGTCTGCATCTTCCAGATCGATATGGTTTTCGTCACAGGCTATTTAAACACTGTTCGTTTCATGATTTCACCGATCGTGAATTTAAATAGGAACAAAGAGAGTGGGTAGACCTGACGGACACCACCCTGTGGTGTAGCCACATCAATGGCTAGAGACATTATCAGGCATGGCCCAGTCGCGCCCTCAATGGCGCTCGTGCATCAGAGCTATTGCCTTCAATGCATAGCTCCTTTTCCAACCCCCCCCCCACTTGACAGCCCACTGACAGTGCTGGATTTATGCACCAATTTATCAGCTCCCGCCTACAATGCGCAGCTACCTACCCCCCACCAAATCATTGGTGAACGAAACTGCGGCAGGTACAACCACTGTACGACGAGTACGCGGTTCTTACAGCTGACAATGATGATGATGTGTACGGAAGCTTTTGGAGAGCTGGACATGTACACTCACACGTCCGGTAGTCCAAGAATACAAACAGCTTAGTATGTTCGCGAACTTCCGGGGCATTCCTCGGCAGGCAAGCGTGTCAAACAGAACAAACTGGTCAGCCGATTCAAATGCGTCTTGAAAATCCAGGAATACTAAAATCGCTTATAAGTACGGCGTTGTTCTACAACCTGACGAAGTGTGAAAAGCTGGTCAACGCAACCCTTACCAGGCCGGAATCTCGCTTGCTGCTTTCGAGTCACTGTTTCAAGAACCACAATAAGGCGACGAAGAAACAGTGACGCCGACAATCTCGTTACGACCGGGGTCAAACTGATCCCCTGATCACTACGAGCCTTGTTTTCGGAAATGAGTACTATCACTGGCTCTCTCCAGTTGTCTGAGACAGACAAATGCAAGCAAACATATCAGACAAGCGCCGACTGAGGAATTCACCCCCCACCTTTGAACAGTACGGGTGAGAGGTCACCCGCACCAGAGGAGCCTGAGAGAACATGTGCAGTCATACACCTCCGAGGCCGTACGCGGTCCCACATTCACCGTCCAGGGTTCTACTTCACTTGTGGGCTCCAGACGGGTGCCAGCTGGTGGCCCTGACAGTTGTTCGACGTATTTGGCCCACCGGTCGAGGTGTCCTTTGCTCGAAATGGCCACTCACTTCTGATCCTTGATGGTTTCGCTCACAGATGGCAAATCAATTGAGATAATTCTCGGGTTTTCCCGGCTTTCTGGGTCTCCCCCATTTCCTTGGCTTTCTGTGTTCACCACACTCACGGTCGGCTTGCACGCTCACCTTCACTTGACGTCTGATAATTCGCCGCATCAAGTTATGTTCGGGGCCAGCTGGGATATTTCTCCGAGATGTGCCACCATTCGGTCTGGTATCCATTGCTTGAATGCGCTTGGCGGCTCCGTGCCACAGGCATAATTCCCAGCAGTATGCAAAAGAGGCGGCCATTTCGTCCCAGTATGAGCTCTCATCTGATGGTGGAGCCTTTGGAAGACTCTAGAAGACGGTGTTTGTAAGTTCGTCTAAAATCCTGATCTGCCAGCCTCAGTTGTCAGCGATTTGACTGCACCATATGCGGCCCTGGACAACGTAGAGAAAAGCGACTCAGGACGAGCGCGTGATCGGAATCTAAAAATGTGTTCCCAAACGACCGGCACTCGGTTACTGATCCACACAATCGGTAACTGATGGCAATGTGGTCGATTTGAGTTTGTGACCGGCACGCTACTGAATGACACCTTATGAACAGACGAATTCGGCTGTTTCGGAAGTTAGTACTGCATAAAAGGAGTCTGTGATCAGCACACAGCTGAAACAATCGATCCGCACTGTCCCTACGTAGCGAGTCCAATCCATATCGATCAGTCCCAGATACGCTAAGCCTGCCCGCGTGTGTATTCAGATGTCCGGCAATCACCAAGACACCCGAGATTTTAGCTCGCCGCGGCAGGGCATTCAGGGAGTCGTAAGACCTGTCTTTGATTGCATCGGAGCTACAGTCAATTGGGGCGTAAGCAGACACAATAAACAGATATCTATCAACTCCCCGCTTGTGAGACTCACCCGCAGACTCTACCAGACGAACCGCACAGAGCAGACTATCAATAAGTATCCCGTCAAGCGAGGATACTTCCGGCCGGTGACTTAGGGCGATACCAAAACTTGAGTACCGCCGCAGCAGTCTCTGGATCACCAAAGTAAGTAGCCGGAAGTAAGTGGAGACTGATAGGGTGGTTAGCTCAATCCGTCAAGCGTACTTCCGGCCGGTGACTTAGGGCGATACCAAAACTTGAGTACCGCCGCAGCAGTCTCTGGATCACCAAAGTAAGTAGCCAGCCGGAAGTGGAGACTGATAGGGTGGTTAGCTCAATCACTGTGCTTGCATCTTGAATTCTTGTTTCTGAGACACAGGACACATCAATGTCAAGCGAGTCCAGCGTGAGAGCAAGCACAGCTTGTTGTCCTGCTTGCTTCAGAGCGCGGACATCGAAGACGGCTAGATAATTGGGTGTCGAGGCTCGAATATTGATTTGGAGATACTAGTGGATGTCGGCGCCATGTGACGAGCAGATGTTGCACGCAAAACCAATGTAAGACGAACGGAGTCATCAGCCATAGGTTCTGATGTGTGCGGAGGGGGGAAGAAAAAGTATGCAGAGAAAGGAGGGCATCAGCGGTAGCCTGTTTTCAATTACCCGCCCTACTATATGCAGCAGGTAAGGCGACCCGGCTGATGACACCACGCGACCTCCGATGTGACAAGAGTTTATCGTTAGACGTAGGTATCATGGTTGCACGTGGGCTGTGATACTGTCAGAGCGCTCATACCCAGACAGGAGGACGATTGGGGTCTTCAACCAGAAGCTTTGGCTCAAAAACCTAACCGCAAGCCAGCGCTGTTTGGCGGGAAACGCACATGCATTACCATTTCTACGGAACGAGTCGCCACACGTTCCAACTCCTACCCTAGAGGACTAGGAGATTGTGCTCATCAGACCTCTAACAGTTGACCAAACTGCCATGAGAGACTCTGTGAGTGTCGCGGGAACAACAACCCCCCCCCTCGGTATAGCTCAATGAGTCGCTCTGGTGCGCAAACCGTCACACCACGGTAAGGTGCATTCTCGTGACGAAAGTGTTCTCTGGTCTTATATTTCGATGGCTGACTGAATACAGGGAAAGGTCCATGAAAACCAAGCTGGGCTCTGTCCTGCAAGAGGATGCATCGATCACATTTTCACCCTTCAACATATTCTCGAACAGCGGCCCTGCTTCCAGCAACCAACAGTGCTTGTCTTATTTGACTGTGAATGTGTTTTTGATTCTGTAGACGGTCAGGCACTATGGCAGTGTCTGTGGAGCAAACGCACTCCCCGTGAACCTTTGATCCTCCACCAACTCCCGCGGATACACGAAGGTCTCGCCTGATTTCACCACATCAAGTGCCAGGCAAGGATACCGTCTTCCAATTTTCATCTTAAACTACCTCACTGATACGATTATGGGAGACTCACTACCAGCCTCTGATGCCTGTGGCATCGAAGTGCTCCCGAGGCAGGTATCGAGTACGCAGACGATACAGCTCTCCTTGGGTCTGACGCCTTCGTAATGCAAACAAATGAACTAAATAATTCTGCCCCACTGTTTGGCATGCGCTGAAGGTTGCGGACGAGCCGATTGAGGTAGTGGACAAGTTTGTCTACCTAGGCAGTTGTATTAGCAAGACACAGCGGTCTCGCCAAAGATGATATTTCTATCCGGATTGGGAGAGCCAGAGCAGCTTTCGCGAACCTCTCTTCCTAATTTCCCCGAATAAAAGTCCACTGGCACCCTTGTGTTGGAAAATCAGCTATATCAGCTACCGCCTATCATTGGCTCTCCCGATGGATCGCACGATAATCGACATGGTGCTTTAACGCATCCAGGACAACGGTCTTCGCCTACGTCCTGAAAGGTGTCAGTTCTTCATGACGGCCGTTAAGTATCTTGCGTTCATCTTCGATGCCTCTGGTCGACGCTCTGGTCCCGAAAACATACGAACTATTCAACAGATGCCGGTACTCCGCTTCTTATTGGGCCTCATCAGCTACTACTCAGCATTTCCGCCTGCACTGCAGTGTCCGGCCGCCGCTCAATCATCTGAAAAAGGAGACCTGCCTTGGGTTTGGTCAGAAGAATGTGAATCAGCTTTCTGCAAGCTCAAGTCCATGCTCAGCTCCGAAATGCTACTGATGCACTATGATCCCAAGCTGCCAACTGTCGTGGCAGCCGACGCTTCCGCCTACGGTATCGGTGCAGTCATCCTCCACGTTTTCCCTGGACACATCAATGTCAAGCGAGTCCAGCGTGAGAGCAAGCACAGCTTGTTGTCCTGCTTGCTTCAGAGCGCGGACATCGAAGACGGCTAGATAATTGGGTGTCGAGGCTCGAATATTGATTTGGAGATACTAGTGGATGTCGGCGCCATGTGACGAGCAGATGTTGCACGCAAAACCAATGTAAGACGAACGGAGTCATCAGCCATAGGTTCTGATGTGTGCGGAGGGGGGAAGAAAAAGTATGCAGAGAAAGGAGGGCATCAGCGGTAGCCTGTTTTCAATTACCCGCCCTACTATATGCAGCAGGTAAGGCGACCCGGCTGATGACACCACGCGACCTCCGATGTGACAAGAGTTTATCGTTAGACGTAGGTATCATGGTTGCACGTGGGCTGTGATACTGTCAGAGCGCTCATACCCAGACAGGAGGACGATTGGGGTCTTCAACCAGAAGCTTTGGCTCAAAAACCTAACCGCAAGCCAGCGCTGTTTGGCGGGAAACGCACATGCATTACCATTTCTACGGAACGAGTCGCCACACGTTCCAACTCCTACCCTAGAGGACTAGGAGATTGTGCTCATCAGACCTCTAACAGTTGACCAAACTGCCATGAGAGACTCTGTGAGTGTCGCGGGAACAACAACCCCCCCCTCGGTATAGCTCAATGAGTCGCTCTGGTGCGCAAACCGTCACACCACGGTAAGGTGCATTCTCGTGACGAAAGTGTTCTCTGGTCTTATATTTCGATGGCTGACTGAATACAGGGAAAGGTCCATGAAAACCAAGCTGGGCTCTGTCCTGCAAGAGGATGCATCGATCACATTTTCACCCTTCAACATATTCTCGAACAGCGGCCCTGCTTCCAGCAACCAACAGTGCTTGTCTTATTTGACTGTGAATGTGTTTTTGATTCTGTAGACGGTCAGGCACTATGGCAGTGTCTGTGGAGCAAACGCACCCCCCGTGAACCTTTGATCCTCCACCAACTCCCGCGGATACACGAAGGTCTCGCCTGATTTCACCACATCAAGTGCCAGGCAAGGATACCGTCTTCCAATTTTCATCTTAAACTACCTCACTGATACGATTATGGGAGACTCACTACCAGCCTCTGATGCCTGTGGCATCGAAGTGCTCCCGAGGCAGGTATCGAGTACGCAGACGATACAGCTCTCCTTGGGTCTGACGCCTTCGTAATGCAAACAAATGAACTAAATAATTCTGCCCCACTGTTTGGCATGCGCTGAAGGTTGCGGACGAGCCGATTGAGGTAGTGGACAAGTTTGTCTACCTAGGCAGTTGTATTAGCAAGACACAGCGGTCTCGCCAAAGATGATATTTCTATCCGGATTGGGAGAGCCAGAGCAGCTTTCGCGAACCTCTCTTCCTAATTTCCCCGAATAAAAGTCCACTGGCACCCTTGTGTTGGAAAATCAGCTATATCAGCTACCGCCTATCATTGGCTCTCCCGATGGATCGCACGATAATCGACATGGTGCTTTAACGCATCCAGGACAACGGTCTTCGCCTACGTCCTGAAAGGTGTCAGTTCTTCATGACGGCCGTTAAGTATCTTGCGTTCATCTTCGATGCCTCTGGTCGACGCTCTGGTCCCGAAAACATACGAACTATTCAACAGATGCCGGTACTTCGCTTCTTATTGGGCCTCATCAGCTACTACTCAGCATTTCCGCCTGCACTGCAGTGTCCGGCCGCCGCTCAATCATCTGAAAAAGGAGACCTGCCTTGGGTTTGGTCAGAAGAATGTGAATCAGCTTTCTGCAAGCTCAAGTCCATGCTCAGCTCCGAAATGCTACTGATGCACTATGATCCCAAGCTGCCAACTGTCGTGGCAGCCGACGCTTCCGCCTACGGTATCGGTGCAGTCATCCTCCACGTTTTCCCTGACGGAACTGAGAGGGCGATCATGCCTGCATTCGAATCACTTACCCCGGTGGAAAAACACTATGGCCAAATTGAGAAAGAGGCATTGGTGCTAGTCTTTGCCACCCGACGATTCAAAAAGATTTACGGCCGGCGATTCACTCTCCCGACCGGCCACAAGCCCTTGCTGTAATTTTTTGGTTCGAAATCTGGCGTACTTGCTCATTCGGCGAATCGGTTACAACGTTGGGCACTCACCCTGCTTGGCTACGACTTCAAAATCCAGTATTGACGCACGGAAAATTTCAGCCAAGCGGATGCACTCTCACGACTGATCGGCAATACTGTCCCAGAGTAGAATTCCGTCATCGCGGCCTTATCCATCGATGACCACGTCAGCCAGCAGCTTCTCGAAACAGTCCGTGCCTTACCAGTGACTGTTCCGGATATCCAGCGTGAAACTTCGGCCGATTCGACGCTGCAGCAGGCTATCCATTTTCTCAGGACATGTTGGCCGACAAAATCCTTGGACATCGAATTCCAACCTCTCTTCCATCGCCGGAATTCCTTGTTCACCTTTAGCGACGTGAGAGGACGTGTGGTGGTGCCATTCAATGCATAGCTGCCCAGGTTTTGAGCTAAGTAATCATACCATCATCTCCGAAACCTTGGCTGCATTTTTCAGGCTCCTGTATTTTCCGGTGATCAAAACCGTAGCAGATGGGACCAACCTACTCTTGATACATGGTTTAAATGAAACTGAACTCAGGAAACTTGACTCTGAGAATGATTGGTTCATTCGTGCTTTGGATTTCGGGTAGGTTTACTGGCAGTGGTATCCCTAAATTTGAGGAACTTATCGTGGTAGTCTGAGGCATCAGAATCGTTGGATGCAGGTGCACCACAAACGGTTCAATATATCTGAGTAGCATGGCCGTGAGCCGCTTAGTGTGTCGTCGTGAGGTTCTGTAGCCACAGGTATTTGGAAAGTACTTTTGGAAGCCATTTTATGGAATATCACTAGGAGGGAAGCTTCTACTGATTTGTCACTACAGTCTGGGTTCATACTCACGTAAGATTTCAGATGATACTCATGTTGGATACATGTCTGACTGCCATCATGTTCGGCCTCTTCGGGTTTACGTGCTGCCTATGACAACTTAGATGGTTCCATGAACGTTCTATGGTTCCACGACGTTGAAGTGAATAACGCTGGGTCAAGGCAATTTGGTAATCTCCCGCGGACTTGCCACCATCATCCCAATCGATATCCATCTGCATCAGGGTTCAACACCGATGCTCCGCTGACATACCACCATGATTTGTTTGAAAGACTTATTGTGAAGAAAAGAATAAAGGTGGATGGGGGACTTAGTGTAGCTTACCACAATCATTTCGAAGTGGTTACACCTCCAGGCACTTACTCAGGCAATATGGATAAAAACTGGCAGCAAGATCGCCACTGACATCGGTTGGCAGCCACGTCTGGCAGCGTCTCCAACCAGCCCCAGTGAGGATCACGCAGTCCCCGTACTGGAAGGCGAGTAGCACCGACAGCACTCAAGCGTTTCGTGATCTCCTTAATACCCCTCTACCAGGGCAAGGGTTGTCCACCCCCCTGCTTCCGCCACTTTGAAGTGGGCGTGGAAAACAGCACTCTTCGGCAAACGATGGTTGGGTATACACAGCATAAGTTTCAACCAACGCAGCTTCTGGTGTTGGACACATTATTTACTAGAATTACCCGTTGCACAACTCACTTCCTAATTGTCTGGTTACAGATACACCGACACCACCGAGACAACGATCGTCGAACACCTGAAGACGTCTCAGTTCCCCCGCTCGATCAGGCCAAGTCTCACAGCCATACAACAAAACAGCTCGCACTGTAGCTCGATACACACGTCCCTTGAGGTTAAGGGATGCACCACTTTGACGCCATATGTGTCTCAAATTAGCGAACGCGACCCGAACCTTGCAGATTCGTGAATTGACCACATCGGTCACACTAGGGTCAGAAGTAATACAACTTTCAAGATACGTAAGACGCTTCACAAATTTCAGTGCCTCACCATGGATTGTAGGTGGCATGTTCAATGCATGTCCACGAGCATGAGCTTAAACTTTGTAGGTGAACGTGCATTTCAAAGAATGGGATGACTTAGGTCGGCTCATTCAAAAACACCTGCGCCTGTTCCTGTTCCAGGACGGGAACGATATCTGCGTCTTCCAGATCGGCAAGATTTTCATCACAGGTTATTTGAACACTGGGGTTTTGGAGGCCTTACAGCGTATGTCTGTGCGTTTTGGTGTTCGGTTTTGGTATTAAGACCGAGAAGGCCAACTCAGGATCAGCAGCAGCCATTGTGGCATTGGTTGCAGGGTTCAGGGTGGTCGTGAACAGTAGACTCTTTTTTGGTTTTGATCTTTTTAATGAACTCCATGCTGGGGCTAACTGAGAAGATAGTTGAATTGTCAGCGGATAAATTCAGCTCCGTTCATCAGGCTTGCCTCATCGTAAAATCCATGTCAGGTCGAAGTTGAAGGCGCAAATTTCGGGACTCAATCGCTTTTGGTTTCGACTAGACTTGATTCTTGTATTAGTGCCATCGTCACAATAGGGTTAATTCTCCGTTTTCACGACCCCCGACAGCATTCTGGGACATGTCTGCCTGGACTGCCAGCGTGAAGTCCGTTGTTGATGTCCATAACCGCTATGTGCATTCAAGACTTACAAGAATGGGCTCCCAGAAGGATATCAGCCTACACCGTTCGGCACATCAGTCTCTTCAGAGGTCTACTGATGAAGTAGACGTCCACGAATAAGTTTGAAAGAGCGGATTGCACTCGATACTGACGAGATTCGACTGTACGACCACACCAGTAGGCGTAGACATCAAAATGAGAACCTATTTTGTTCGACTTACCCGGGACCTGTATGATGTATAACCAAAAGCTCAGTGATAATCACGAGAAGCAGACGCCCAGACCCATGGTCATCAGACTGCGCGCAGACATGATAGAACTGAAGTCCCTGCTTGTCTGCAAGCCAATGGAGCCAGGATAATGCCTCAAACATCACAAGTGAAGGTATCTTTTAAAACGCGCCATCGAAAACCCCGTTTTAATATTCAACCCGCGACGCGCGCTTTATGAATATGGCATTCAGTGTGGCGTTTTATACCTTTCTTTTGATTCCATTACAATATTTCGTATTTTGTCGGCAGCATAAACTTTCTTCATTTGAATACAAAATACACTCATTTGCAAACAAATTTGTTTTTCGCAAGAGACTCGGCTAGAACCCAGCTAAACCTCTGGTTTATGATGTTTTCGGGGAAGTTTTCCAATTTCCGTGCTTGTTGTGCGTTCGAGTGTACGCTGGGAATTCATACCATCAGACTTCTCCTTTTGGGCGCTTTGTCAGTGGAGGCGTGTCACTAAATTGGCGATTGATGCCTAAGCGTGTGAAATATCGTCAGCCAATGAGACAGTGAAAATGAACCGATTACCACTGTCCGCGTCATGTAAAACGCTAATAAAATGGCCAAACGCTTTCTGTGAACTTAATTTATTGAAATATTATGCTGACGTGGCTTTCTCAGCAATCTACATCACTGTTTAGACGCCGCGGACATTCCTAAAATGGTGGGTGGTCTCACTGGTGTCGTCCGCCAACGTCCACTGACAAGTTGCTCACACATGCTGTAGGATGAGCCTATTTTATATATGTTCAACTTTATTTAATAACAGAACTTCTTGGAGAAGATATCGTCTTGACTCACCGTTTAATAAAATGTGCTGCGGCATGCAAGAAGGGTTTCGGTTGACCTGTCGGAGACCGCCAACTATACCCTGTTATGTATTTATTGCTACCTTGCCCAGTTGAGGAGCAAACCACCAAGCGCACCCTGTATTCGTGCTGATAGGTCTTATGAATTAAGCCAGTTCATACAGAAGTCAGTAGATGTACGATCATCCGCGTGCCAGAACATCATACCGTCGCCAATATGGGGATAATTGAAGGCATTATGAATGCTCATGTGGTTGCTCGCCTGTCACCTAGGCGTTGTCCACAGTTAAAAGACGGTCTTACAATTGATAAGCTATCCCGTCTAATTTTATCAAAGGGGCGGAGCTGTCCCAAGACTGGGACACAGAAGAGGAGGTGAATGCATATTTCTTATCCTTATGGATGTCGGATGGGGAGGACAACCACGGAATTTTTCAGCTTGAACGTACTGGTCCAAGTAGGGGCTTGCATTTAAAACTCGCCCCACCTGAAGGAACAAAGTTTAGTTCAGGGTTAGTTATCGGTGGATATTTACCATTTGGAAAGTAACGCTTTGCGATGCACCATTACGTACTCAGCCCATCGGGCACGGTGCCCGATAGTTATACAGCTGCTCGTTGCGTACAATACAATACTTTTGGGGGCTCGAATCGGTTGAGACTGTTACCGAGGTTGTCTGCCATAAAAACAAGCTTGAGATCTGATTTTACTGTCTATCTTAGAATGCTGGATTTTTTCTCAGTCCATGACTCAGTTAACCGGTTTGTTGTTATTCAGTATTTTGGAATTTCTGTTTCCGGAATTTGAGAAACCGCCGCTTATTGGCGAGTTTGTTCGCCCAACCACCAGCCGGCAAAGCCCCAACAACGTCTTCTACCTTGCTGTGTTTTACCACCTGTGTTTTTAACTGGCCAGGCTCCCAGGGCGACTATGAGAGACTGAAAATTATGGTTTGTGGTTGGTAGGAATATCCCATGTTCGACGATCTGAATTCATGACGTGATGGGTTTTTTCGACCTTACTTCGCCTCACTTTATTCAAGCCTCTGTTCGATGTAAAAAAAACAAAACGTGCTATATTTACAGGTCAGCTTTACGTACTTGAAAATAAATGGTTCTTGTGCATCTTGTAATGTCTATACAGAAGGCACACGCATATCGGAGGAACCACCTGTTCAAGACAAGTGTCCATCCATCAGATTGCATCATTCATCAGGTTCGTTTGTCCCCATGTGTGCTATCCACTACCGTAACCGTAATCAACCGGAAGAACTAAATCTTACCGTACCTTGCCCAGAGGTCATGTCGTTAAGCGTTATAATTACCTATATGGTGTGGTGGGCCAACTTTTCATACGTCAGGGGTGACGCACTGGGTAGTTTGTACCGGAGAGGCAAATTACTCCGCTGCTGACAGCCTGTCGTCTATTCACCCCAGGATATCTTCTTCGTCGCCATGTTCACCAGCTTGCTAGCAGTCAGGAGGCATTGGTGAGAACAAAAGCGAGGGCATTAAAAAATTTCGCTCAGCTCAAAACAATGGTTGGACCGGAAATTTTTGCCAATCCTGTGATAGAGTGTTATACCAGAGAACAACCGATCGTATGCACGCTGAAGCTCATTCGACTGTGCAAACAAGAAATGTACTCCGTGATGCTTGATATAAACACTTCTGACCCCTATTTTTAAAGCACAAGGGTTGGTCCCGTGGAGGTTACATTAGAAATTATGTGGCAAAGATTCCGCCTGGCCTACTATCCGTCCTCAAAAGAGAGGTCACTCAATCTAGTTTCCCTGAAGATTTACGAAGAACCTGGTCCTTCTCATTCGTTACCTTTCGAATACACACGACTTGAATTTCCATTCAAATCAAATGACTGATCCGCACTGGCATCAGCCAGGTAAGTTTCCATTCTTTAAAACGGTTGTGCCCGCAAAAGATTACTTACTGGATTTCAGTGTATAACTGCAATCTGGATGCATCTGTAAAAGAAACCAATGGCGGATATCCTCGGCGGTGCAGTGAGAGGTTTCACTGTTAGCCATATTCCTATTCATAGCCTTGCTGAGGAGACTGGGCACTGTGTTCCGACCCGCGTGTTGCAGTGATTCTATGGACTATACGGGGTAGAACGGCTTTTCTCATGGCGCAGTCAAGCTACGAAGATTGCAAAGTTTGCAGTGTTGCACCAATGCCAGATTTTTCTCTGAGCAATGCATCATTTAAACTTAACCAGTGAGAAAGTATCGCGAAAACTCAAAGAAAGAACCCATTTTCTGTTCACCATAAATGTTGGAAACCAAAAAATTTCCCGCGGTGTGCGTTTCACGAATCAACACACGCCATCGTACGAGGCTGTGAACAGTGCTTAAGGCGTTTGTTCGGTTCCTTTTTTTGAAGTATTCGAGCTGTGGGGCTCAAGGAAAAGCGCTCCGGAAGCTTCCGTCGATGAGGGGTCTTACAATTTTTCATACTATGGCATCTCGCGTGGGGCCGAGTAGTTGATTCTGCACATAAATCCGATGAATCGATATATCGATGCCGGAAGTTCGCTGGCGTGTCCTGACAGGGTGCATGTTGGACTGTTCCTGCAGAGTGTCAAAATCTACTTGGTGTACGGTGATTTTGCTATGGATTAGTGAATACATGTTTGCGTCGAAATGCAGAATGAGCGATGCATACGTTGCAGGTTACACATTATATTTCCATGCTTTCACGGGCGTCGGTACGGATGTTGGCCGCTTGGACGCTTATGAAACCATCCTGCAAACAACGGGGGGAAGTGTTGCATTCAATAAACACATTGCGAAAACTAAATCACCCCAAAAATTGTAAACGGTCAGGAAGTCACCTTTTATGAAGGGTTCAATGATAATCCCTGCCCGAAAATTATTGTGACTTCGGTCACATGGGAATCTGCCGTGGAGCTGCTGTGTTAAAATATCTCGAATCTCAGTCCCTGTAAATCGCTTTCCCTGTTGCATAAAATTGAAACATTTCAATTGCAGTAAAGGGTACCTTTTATTTGATTAGTGAGCGTAAATAAAACGTCAACAACCAAGCAGAGCACACAGGTAGCTTGTTTCCGTGCATTGCTTGCACTTTTAATCCACCGGCTCGAAAGTTTAGCAGCGCACTGCGTGTGGTGTACACCGCCTCATTTCAGCATAATTGTGAGCGCAGACGGGTTTGCCTCTCCAGGAGCCTTCCCTGGGAGACCGGGCTGCTTGGTTGCTGTGATAGCCCTTTGGACATGAATGAATGACCCACGTCGCCGCGAACAAACTACTCAGAACTGC